TTAATACACTAAAATAATTAATCAGAAGAAAAAAATCCATTTTATTGCAATACCTTTTCTTCTTCTAGTTTTCCATTTATATACAGAATAGAAATATCGCCAATGAACCATAACCCAAAACAGAAGTCTAAAGAAATTAAATTGTATTTTAATTTAGAAGCACAGACATTCTAACCTGTTTCAAACATCAGCATTATTCCTGCAACTCAGACTCGCAGCTCAGTGAACATACAGTGCTTCATATGGTACCTCTGCTTAAGCACATCACAAAGCTAATTTCATTCTCATGCAGAATATTAATGCCAACCAACAGTCAGTAATAATAAATATCAATGCAAATAAATCAAATACTAGGCCACATCTACTGTATATTTATATTTTAGGTACGATAATCCCACACAGATGGCCAAGTAACTGCCAAATTGCATCAACTGAAAACACTCAATACTGTTTACAAGATCAGGTTCTCTCAAAAACATGTTATTTCTGTCTCCTAGGTTACAAAAGGTTTCGATTACTTTTATGCTGATCTATCTCTATGTGAATCACCAATTTCCTATAAAAATGAAGTTAAGGCAATGCAGAAACATAAATAATAATCCTCATTTTCCAGTTGGGGCAGAAATCATAGTAAGGACCTTCCAGGGGAAAGAAAGTACACAGGAGAATGTGTGAGACGCTAAATCTCAGCATTCATTAAAAAAACTGTATCTTCAGACTGAATACGTGGAATAGTCCATCAAGGTACTCAAAGTCTTTATAATAGGATTTGAACTTCATATTGACGTTCAGTCAGCAATTTTTTCAAAACTCTGCCAGGGTAGAGAAAACAACAAGCCCACTCATCAGCAAGCGAGAAGGCAAAAGAGTTTCAGTTCAGTCTGGTTTGGAAGTTCTAAGTTAAAGCAGACACTCAAAGACACCCCCACACCTACATATATGTGAGATTCCCACAGACACAGCCCTTTCTCAATGAACCAGCACTTCCCTTCTTCCCTTTCCCTAAGGAGTATGTCTCAATGGAAGACTTTTTGCTTCTCTCTCAAATTTCAGCAGGACACTGAATCTATTCCTCATCCCCTCTCTAGCAAGTCCCAACTCATTAGAGTCTTGTAAAAGGAAAATGCTGCCTGGTCACTTCCAGGAATCAGCTGAGAAATTCACAATTCCCAAGACTAAGTCAGCCAAAAAGGCCAAAAGACAATTAGACTCAGACTCTTAAAGTAAGAGATGATTCAGGTTTGTAAGAAACTAGGCTGTCCCCCGTGATACAATAAGCAAGCAGGTTCACGGAAGCTGGTTCGAAGTACAACTGGTTTTGAATTACAGAACAACCTGCAGAAAGATTAAAAATAAAACCAAAAAAATGCACACTAAAAATTTAATTCCTCTCTGGATAGATGCTTACAGTAAAGCAAAATAGAGAATAACATCAGAGGAGAAAAAAATAAATTTAACATTTCCAAAGGAAATTACCAAGTCATGTTGTTACAGTTCTGACCACTTCTGTTCTTCCTGGTAATGGAAAATTCAGAGAAAAAACTAGTTCTGAAACATTTGGAAAAACCCTTACAACCATAAAAACATCCTTGTTGTTATTTTTATACATATCTCATGGGAAAACAAAAATAAATCTACATGCTCCCATCAACAAATAATAAAAAACAAAACCCCAACCAAACAAAATATTCTGAATCTTAAATACTTTGCCCCAACAGCAAGAAGTTTCTAACATTTACCATTACAAAACACACAACAAAGACTCAAATTTTTTATAACTTTCACTGGTCAAGACAATCAATTAGAGCAAGTCTTCAGAGGTTACAGCGCACTTGCAATAAAGGCTGCAAAATACCAGTTCATTCACATATTGAATAGTACATTTATCTGACCTACATTATGTATCCAAGTGTGTGCCTACAAGAAATCCAAACTCTCGTGTGTTCCTGGCAGAAAGCTTAAAACCACTGCAAATCACAACTGTGATGAACACGTCCCAGTAAAAACAGTATCTTAAATTGATTCTCCTATGCATAACTACCTATCAAATTAACAGGGAAGCAAACATGCAGTTCAACAGAATAAAAGATGATAATTGAAAAACAGTGTGGAAAGGATGGTAGAGAAGGTCATCTCTTCTAGGCCAGACTTCGAGTGAAGTTATTTAGGACTGATTTCAGAACAAAACTCTAAGCCTGCAAATAGTTTTAGCACACTTTCATTTTAACTATAAAAGAAACTAGCAAAAAAAACCCTCAAAACACAATGCTTGAAAAAAGATGCCTATACACAAAAACAAGACAAACCCACAGAAGTCTGGGCAGCAGTGACCAGAGGCAGCTGCTCCTACAGCACTCAGAACCACCACAAGAGTACTTGGAACAACATCCCCCTTTTATTCCAGTCGCATCCTAAATCCTGACAAGAGATTTATGCAGGTACCTACACAGATGCATCTACAAGTGCAGGACTCCAGCTAGAAGTATAGAAGTAGCATCACATACAGGTTTTTTTGGTTTTTTGGGTTTTTTTTTTCCAAAACAGCCTTCTTTTGGTTTAATAAAAAAAAAAAAAAAAAGAAAAAAAAGTTAAGAAAGTTGGCTTGAAAATTAAGCTAGTTGCACAAGCAGAAATACATCAGCCAAGATCACTGCAGAATCCCATTAAGAGGAACAAGGCTTTCTAAGGGCACTAAGGTGTTCTTTCATAGGTAGAACCTCAAACACAGCAGTAAATGCCACTATCATTCTGATACATGTAAACCATAGAACACTCTGTAAAACATTTCATGTTGACTGAAACATCTTTTTAAAGATGTTTTCCCAGATCATATTTACAGCTCTGGCTATCTGATTCACACAGGCACATGCAGAAGATATAGCAAATTTGCTTTCTTTTTCTGAAACTCAACAAGTCTAAGAACTGAAAAATTAAGTTACTGAAAAAGCTGTCTGAACAGAAAAAAAACCTCCTAAACTTCTTGCTAAAGTTTGTTGAACAGGTTATATCAAAATTAGGACACAAAGTAAATCTTTGCATCCATGAGGTCAGGGGAGCATGGAATCCATGCAGTTTACAGTACCTCACAATTTAGACTAAGCACTAAAATTTATAAAATACAAATCAAAATAAGGAATGTGCAAAGTAATTCTAGCCACACAATATTTCGTAAGTTTTCGTACAAAAAAAGCAGTAAATTTATTCTGAATGCACAGAACTATGGATCAAATTAACGATGCATTGCTTCCAGGAAAGCACTAGAAGACCTCCTTCCATACATATATAATTTGATAATCTGAACATCCAAAGTTTGCTGTGAAACCTCAAAAGCTAAAGCTGATGAGCCCCAAAACATGTAAGCTTATAATCACTTAGAAACTATTAACGTTCTGCAAAAAGCTTTGTGGCTTCAGCAGGCTTCTTCTGGACCTTCCTGCATCTCATCCTATTAGCAGGCTCTCTTCCTACTGCTCTCTATTTAAAGATACCCTGTAACCTTCTCTTCCCTCTGACAAGTCTCGCATACTTTCCCTTAACTTGTACCTCTCTTTCCAGCGAATTGATTCTTGGTCCTCAATAATCATTTCCACTCCCCCACAAGCCAGAGTAGTGAGGAATTATTCATCACTTTACATAATAAAGCAGCAGAGACTATTAAATTAAATGGGGAGGATGTAGGTTTAAAAAACAAACCCCAACACACACTCCAAAAAGAAGCAGTGTGCAAAAATTCCATAATTAGTATTGGTAGCATATTCTAGAGATCAAAAACTTGTAAGATTTAAGTTAGACAGCTTTATGAAGGTAAAGCCCCCGAGTTGCTTATGAGACTATTGAACACAAAGATATGTGTAACAGTCTAAACTTCAGGCACCTTCTGAACCAGATACTACTGAAACCTGAGAGATTAAGAGTATGTCACTGATGCCACCACACAAAAGAACTATCCTTTTCCCAGCACCTTTCTGAAAGCAACTAACCCTGTCCACTATAAGAGAGGAAATGAGAGGAGAAGGAAGAGCAATAAGGACTAGATCCAGAAGCTGTTTTTAAACTTGCAGTAAGGTTGTGCTGCCTTTGCTAAAGAAGTTAAATAACAAAAGAAAAGTCACAAGAAAGGTAACAGTGACCGGCTGCGGAGGGAGCAGGCAGAATGAAAAACTAAATTATTCAAGTGGGGAGAGACAAGAGGGAACACATCCAAAAAGGTAACAGATAAACACGAACTGGGCTCACCCAGTACGACGTTTTACAGTCGCGGTATAATGAAAAGTACGCCAGACTTCTGCTGTTTATCAGTGGTGCAAGCAGCGCAGGGTGCACAGCGATCTCAGGGACGAAGCACGGGAGGAGCGATCACGCATGACAGCGAGTGTCCAGCACGCCCGGGCTGCCATGTTCTCCTGACGCCCTGTGTAAACAAGGCGCTGCCCCTTGGCGCTGCCCCAGCCGCCTCCCGCTCCGCCGCCGCCCCGCTCCCAGCACAATACGGCCCGGCCCGGCCCGGGAGGCCACGCTGCCCCGGGCTGTTTACACTGACAGCGCCGGGCACCGCCCGCCGCCCCGTCCGGCGGGCGCGGACCCCGCGGGCAGCTGGGCCGGGGGAAGCGGGACGGCCCCAGCTCCTCCGCGGCACCCCGCGTGAAACCGAAAGTGTAGCTGCGGAGGCCAGCGGGTGGGAGGTGCCGCCGGAGCGGCCCCCGGCCCCGCCACCTCGAGGCCATCCCACACACCCCGGCGGCCTCCCCCGAGCCAAGGCGGCCCCGCGGCCCCTCGGCAGGACAGCTGCCGCCTGTCAGCGCCCGCCCGCGGCGGCGGCGGCGGCAGGAGCCGACACCGCGCCCTTACCGTGGCCGTGCGCTGGGAGGCCGCGTCTGTCGCCCGCCCGAGCCGGGAGCAGGAAGCGCTGGCGCCGCCCGGGCAGAGCC